ACAAGACACAAGGAGCGGACTGGCGAGCCTTGTCAAAGATTTCGCGAACATTGGCCTCACTCTCTCCAAACCACATAGTGAGCAACTCTGGGCCCTTAACGCTAATGAAGTTTGCTTGACATTCATTTGCAATGGCCTTTGCCAGAAGAGTCTTTCCACATCCAGGAGGGCCATAGAAAAGAACTCCTTTGGATGGCGACATCCCAAATTTCTCAAATTTCTCAGGATGTTCAACTGGATACTGGACCGTCTGCATAAAAGCAACAAAAAGTGAACAACAAAGATTATCCATGGGAAAATTAGAAGGGTTCAGAGAAGTATTGGGCAATACAAAAAATGTTATTGGTTTACCTCTTGAAGCTCCCTCTTAACATTCTCAAGACCTCCAATATCCTCCCATGAAACATTAGGTACTTCAACAACCTGATCAACAAAGCTCAAGCCATTAGGGTACATCCAAAGGAACGGTCTGAAGGGTGGGTGAAATGCAAATACATTAGCAGCACTGGCAGTCGTTTGAATATAAATGAGTACTACTTACCGTTTCACGAAGAGCTGATGGGTTGCTGGTTCCAAGAGCAGTCTGAAAATGCTCATTTGTAACTGCCATTGAGTTGAGTATCTCAGCATCTATTGAGTCATCCTCCAAGTCAATTACATCCATCTTCTCTCTAATGCATTGAAGAGCAGCCTCAGTACAGAGAGCTGCCAGATCAGCCCCAACATAGCCATGCGTATCTTTAGAAATCCTCTCCAAATCAACCTAAATAATGCAGATTCACAGATTTCGATTAACTCTTAGTTATCACTAAAAAGAAAAGGAAGAAGTAAATTATTGGGGAACTGACTTCTTCAGCGAGTTTCATGTTTTTAGTATGAATTCGTAGAACTTCTAGACGCCCAACTTCATCAGGAACACCGATGTCTATTTCCCTATCAAATCTTCCAAATCGTCTCAGAGCTGGGTCGATGCTGTTGGGTCGATTTGTCGCCCCAATGACAATGACATGTGCACGAGACTTTAATCCATCCATGAGGGTCAGTAGCTGCGAGACAATCCTTCGCTCAACTTCCCCATTGGTCTTCTCTCGTTTGGGAGCAATCGAATCAATTTCATCAATAAAGATAATAGATGGTGCATTTTTCTCTGCTTCCTCAAAAGCTTTTCGGAGGTTACTTTCACTTTCACCGGCTAACTTTGACATGATCTCTGGTCCATTAATACAGAAGAAAAATGCACCAGTTTCATTGGCAACAGCACGTGCAATCAAAGTCTTCCCAGACCCAGGGGGTCCATATAACAAAATTCCCTTGGGTGGCTTCACACCGATTGACTTAAATAGTTGTGGATGCCTCAGCGGCAGCTCGACCAGTTCACGAATCTGAGCCATTTGCTTCCTAACACCACCAACGTCATCATAACCAACTTCATCTAATCTATCCTCATCCTCCCTTTTCACAGGCTCCCCGTCACAAAAGATCTCAGTGTCTGGGGCTACCACGCAGTATTCAGCAGGATCAGTCTCAATAACCTTGAACTCTACACTCCTCATCCCCCCTCTCACAAGAAAGAGGTCACCCTTCCTCAAAGGGCGATATGCCTCCAAGAAATAGGCTGCAAATAGAAGATAGTTGGACAGTCTTGAAATGATATATTACAATATTGTGAAGTTAGACAAAAAAGCAGACATGCTATTAGTGATATTCCAAATATGCATATTAGAGCACTGAAGTACTGGTTGAAATCAGAAAGCTCAATCATGCATGCATGTGCCACCAACAGATAAATGAAATGCATGAAGCCCACAAAAATGTTCTGAAAATTCTTATGCGCATGGGAGAGAAGAGAGAAGAAATAGGATGTCAAACAAATGAATCCGGCACCGGTATGAATTATGAAGTTAAAAATAGGAAACTTACGTTTCAAATAAGCGTCAAAAAGATTTCCAGTAACCCCTTCAATAGTATCATCCACTGGAAGAATATGTACACGCTTTCCATATTTAACATCAGCACATTGGTGAACAGAGATAACATCACCAAGCCTAACCCTAAGATTGCTTCTCACGACCTTGTTCATTCTTATTTTAGGTTCATCACATGTATCATCAGCAAGAGCAATGCAGATCGTGTCTTTCCTCTTCTTACCCTGAATCCCAAACACAATGTAAAAATTTATAGAAAATAAGAATAACTGGGAATTAGTAATCGCAGGTCCCTCACATTAAAAAAAGAGGGGGAAAAAAAATCATAAATCTCCAACATGCATCTACTTTTAAATCTAGAATGAATGTTGCAGCAAGTTGAATATAAAGACAGGCAACGAGGTATACATATATATATATATATTTTCGTACAAGTGGGAGTAACAAGTGAGAGTATGGGGATTTTTCTGTTCAGAAGGTTCCAATATATTATTACCATAGGGTCGGCTTAAAAACGCTTGTAACTTTCACCCCAACCGAAGACATGCAGGACATGATGAAAAGATAGAACCCTGCCCTTATGGATTGTGTTCCCTCACTCTAGGCTACCAATAATGGACCAAAAGAACAAGGAAGAGTGGTGCTCTAAGAAGTGGATACGGAACAAGACACCGCTAAAATCTATGACACAGCCACAAGGACATATTTATTAAGTTATACATTTTAAGAAATAAAGAAGAATATTTAAAGTCAATAAGTTTATACATTTACATGCATAAAAAATGAATTGATATATTTCATTCCCAAAATTTATCAATTTTTTCCTATATTATTATTTGTGCCTATTTATTATGCTTAAACAAGTGTTTAATACTTGCCAATTGATTTTTGTATCCACATTCACTCTTACAACTAGTATTTAACACATACCTATTGTGCTAACAAGTGTCTGAGCGTCCAACACATGTTGTACACGAACCCATGAGCCACGTACCTCTTAGGCAGTGTAAATATGCTTGAAAATGAAGTAGCTTATGACTAACACGTTACAGCATACAAACAAGTCCCAAGTTTCTCTCTTTTATTAATCTTAGTTTCACATTTCCAAGTACCTAGTGTTTGCTAAATCATAAGAGTAGAAATCTAAAATGCAAATTTAAAACCAATAACAGCTTTATAATGTAGTTAAGCCATCCTGAATCATAGAAAACCTGAAACATTTAAAAGACATTATCTTTTCATAGCAATTCGAAAAGCCAAGAAACAGTGATCGATGATGAGATGAGCTAAAAGTAAAAGTCAAAAAAATTATTAATAATTGGACACATCTTCGACATTCCACAATTTCGCTAAAACATCCTCAACTTTTCCAATATATTTAATATTTCCACCATTCTTCAACTTATTTTATGTCTCTATCTGAAACAATCAGGAGAATTTAGCATGTCCCACTTACTGATAACTACCTTAGATTTAGTGCAAAACATCCAATATCCAATATCATAGAGATGAAATAACGACTTTCACAAACTCTTTGAAAATGTTTCAGATAGAAGACCCTGCGGAGAACCCACAAACAATTGATTGAATTGAAATATGTTAAGACTCAGTACTCGCATTCACAACTATTAGCAACCTCGAGAAGAACTCGCATACTAAAATGGAGGAAAAGTAAAGGGACTGCTATGTATATGATTAAATTTCACTATCTAGAATAAGAAGCCCAAAAGAAACAAACTAAGATTCCCCATCCGGAACGAAAATAGTAAATCCAGATCCTAGGGTACTCAACAAGCTTAAAACCTCAAACAATAAAAGAGAAATTCCCAAATCCATATGGAATAAACAACCGGAAGAAGAAGAAAAATTCCAATAAATCAGAAAAATTTGCAAGGAATCCGAGGTAAACAGCTAATCGAATGAGAATCATCAAACAAAATGCGCGGAAGACCTACCTTAATGAGGATCGTATCCCCACGGAAGAGTTGAAGCTTCTCCATGGTATCAGGATGAAGAGCGACCACCGAGTTATCATCATTGATAGCTTCATCGACAACAAGTCGATTTGGGGCCTTCTTCCGCTCCAAAATGGCGGTGCTGAAGTCCCTCTTCGTACCCTTGCTGGAGAAACACAAAACTGGCCTCAAATTTCAAGGAGATCATAAACAAACACAAGAGGAAAAGTAGCATTTCAATGAGAACTAAATCCTAGAAGATAATGCGGATCTGGGAATAGAAAGGGAAAAAAGGGGCTTACGAGTCAGACGATTCGGGTTGATTAGCCATAATCAGCAGAAACCGAGGGGCAGGCAAAGAGAATCAGAAGGAGAAAACTTCCTCCGAACTTGCGATACTGAGAATTTGGGTGAATGCTCAGACGATTTGCGATATTTGTAGCAGAAGAAGAAAGATTTCGGCCTTTTCTTGTTCGGAAAGAAAGGTTTTTGATATCTACACCGAACGGTTAATTAAACTGTTCATCTAAATATTTTAAGAATATACATTTGAGTTGTTAAGTATAACAAAATATTTAATAATGATAATTATTAAATTAGGGCAATTATCATATCTTCTTCAAGATTCACATCTTTGGAACTTAAAAATAAAAAAAAACAAAAAAAAAAAACTAAATTTTCCCTTCTACCAAAAATATAGTTTAAATATTATAATTTATTAACTCCAAACTATTTATAATTTTTTTTAATCAAATTATAAGTATGAAATTCCAACTTAATTTATAATTTAATAAAAAAGAGCTAGAAATATATATATATATATTTTTTTTTTTGCAAGTTCAAAATGTGAGACATATTGTTCATTTGAAATGTCAATAAATTTAAATAAATTAAAGGGCAAATATGGATGATAAAATATATATTATGTATCGTTAAAAGGATCTTGAATTTTCAAAAATACATATATTAAATTTGTTGAGATATCTACCACAAGAAAAAAATAATAATTTAGACCATGAAATACTATATCTATATCTATTAACATTGTTTTAAATTTTAAAATTTCAAATTAAAAATCTAATCTCAATCCGAGTACAGAAAAATGAAAAATCCATAGCAGGATCTTAAAAGAAGAACAATTTGAAATTTTGTGAGTTGGGTTGAAGATGTTCTTTCTCATCAGCTTTAACTGTGTACAATTTACAGGAACCGAACACACAGCCCTCATTAAGAACACAAGAAAAAACGTTAGAAATTATGTAGATTTTCCTTTTCCATGTCTATTTTGTACAGAAGCAAAGAAATTTTTAGATACAAATCCAAGATTGTGAACTACTTACGTGGGCAGCACTGAGCTTTGGCCATGGCTGAATTCTGGATCCAAGATTACAGAATTGCTTCTTTTCTTTACTAATTTCTGGATTCGAAGACGAACACCTTCGCTTCCATCTTTAAAAAAATCTTATGAGGAGGCTTTCTGGAGATCAACTGTTGAATGCTGATGGTTCTTTCTTGTCGAACCCGAAAAAGGAGCAACTTTGAAATGCATCCAAGCTGCTTGCTATCAAACGGTTTAAGCTGCTAAGGCTGTCCCCTAAAATTAGTTCCTCGTTATGGTACTTGTTAGTCTGTGGAAAATCCAAATCCAACGGGCCTAGAGAATCGGGCTGAGAATAGAAAACAAAACATAAGTTATCTTTATTCTGTATTCAAGACTCTGCAAGACAATCACAATTCCACAAAATCATGTGAATGTTAATACAACCGCGAGATTTCTCGAACATAAACGAACATACCCAATAAATGTCTGCTAGTTCGTCGATATTGTTTGTCTCCGAGATCTGTGGATTAGCCTGACACTCGTCCTTCGGATCTCCTTGAATGTGATCCTCACTTGGGCTCTCTGATCTAGGTAAATCCTGTGTAATCAAATTGAACATATTAGAACTAGATCCACTTCCAAGCAATCATTTTCATTCACCAGCTGAGGTTATGTTGTTTATACAAGGCATTTGCCAAATACCTACTTCAGTCATGTGGCTGGATCCCATGGAGTTGGTTCTAGCAATATGTTCGCAAGCTCGGACAGATGAGAATGTGAACGAACTAGAAACATCGTGAAGGATGACTGGATTCTTTTGAAATGAGAAGGCATCGCATGTCTCTTCGGCATCAAATATGGAGGATGCATGAGACAGCAAAGTTGGATGAGAAACTGCCTTATTTTGCTGTCTGGATACATGAGCAGCAATTGCAGCATCAAATGAGTCACAGCTGAATGGGATCTGCTGAAGACATTGGGTGCCTTCGGCAAGAGGAGCGACATCGCAGTTGGCATCCACATCCTGAGAAACTCCTGAAAGTAGGTCTCCAATGCTTATGTTTGTAAGGCTGTCAGCCCATTCCCCAGCTGATAAGGAAGTCCCATTGCTTGACTTCAGGTCATCCTAGTTATTCAAAGATGAAACAGTCAATTCAAAAAAAAAAAACCAAGCTTTGTCGACAAAAAATGAAGAGATACAAGGGGAATACGAAAAGAACCAACCCCAAAAGGAGCCAAACTAAAGTAATACATATAAGGCAGCTAATTATTTAACAGTTTATTAGAACAGTGATCATCAGTGAGAAAAGTACAGAGCAAGCAACTTTTTGACATCAGAACATCAGTTAGATGACAGTACAATACCGTTTATAAACAGAATATTGTCAACCAAAAATAGTTAAGAGAGAAGAAAAATACCACATCCTCAGATCGGTGGATGATAGTTGTATCAGTAACATTCTTTTTATCCCACGACATATTTAGGGCAGGATTAGAGGACCTTGGAAGATCATCATTTGGACGTGCGGATATGGACCTCTCTGTCTCACTGGGCGCAGTAGGAGTTGACATATTTTTACTCAATGTACCTACTTCATTCTTATTAAAGTTCACAGGTTGAGCATCAATTGATGCTACATCCACAATTCTTCCCTCAATATCCCTGGAATCCATGACATGATCATCTTGAATGCAGTATGCTGGTACGGAAGTCTGTAATTCAATAGACCCATGTTCTGCGTTGGAACACCAACCATACCTTCAAAAAGATTTCAGGTCAGTTATGTTGTTAGTCGCTTATCTTTTTAAGTAGAATGCGAAAAGGGAAAAAACAACTAAACCTTAAACGAAAAACTTGGGGCCTTCCAATTGTTGCATAGACATCACCGGCACTCTCAAAAGAGTCTTGTGACCATCTCTGACAATCTGCCAGGCTTTTCCTCTGGATACTGTATGGAAAAAGCATAAGCTCTCCATGAGCAGCACTTGAGTTACCCCATTTACGACTTAGATGCTCTAAAACTGATGAAATTTTCTTGCGAGTACTGAGAGTAAGCTCCAAATGTGGATTATGTTTATCCTGAACCAAAAAACGACCCCAACATTGTTGTAACCTCAAAATGCTTAACATATAAACTGATTGATGTAATCTCTATTAGTCTCACCAATTCCAAGGCTCTTCGAGTACCATCATCAACTGGGAATAGCTGAAGCTTCAGCTTTGTAGAAGCAACATCAATCAAGGAATTTGGCTGAAGAGAAGGCAATAGAAGCAAGGGGCTCCCAGCAGGATCAGTATTCTTTTTCCCTGGAAAAAATTTGAGAGCAGCTAGTCACAACAGTGAAGAGATTTAACACAATTTCCTTATCCTTTAACGCAGGGATAGATTTTGCAGGCTACCTTTCATATAGAGTTTATAACAATTTAAAAAGAAAATTAAAAGTAGATGAGTTACCTAGAGTATTTTGGTCACGTAAAACATTCTTATCAGTGACAGTGCGCTCTAAATGCTCAGCAGCATCAGCAACCAAAGAAACACCTGCTATTGCAGCTTTTTCCCATTTTTTATATGCAGCTGATGACACACCTCCTTCTAAAAGTACAAATATCCAATGTATAAATATTCTCTTGCTTAACATTAATTGTGCAACTCCAAATACATAGGAAGTTAAACATCTTTTACCCTTTTGATAAAATACATAACATCTTATTTTCATCTTCTCAACAGTTATTTTCCTATAAAAATCCATTTTTGGATCAATTTACTAACCAGATCTTAGATAGCACGTTCAAAAAACTGGACAAAGGAAATAGCTAAGAAAAGGAGAAATTTAATAGAAAACATATTAATGTACTGAATCTTTTAGAATAAACCAACATAACCCTCTCGGAGAAGAGCTCGCACCTGATTTTCTTCTCTGCCTCGATGGTTTGAGGACTGTGGGATATCCACCATTGTTTCCACGGTTAATACCAACATTCAAATTGCGTTTTGACACAGTTTTTCTAGGGCCCAATTTTGGAATGTTTTGAGTGTCAACTAAAACTAACTTAACTGCAAGCCCATCATGCCCTAAAGCTCTACTCTGATTTGAGACACCATTGGCTATTGGTGGAAGGCAGTTTTCTCCCTGCAATGGACGTTTTCTTACGTTCTTCTTCCGATCTTTCAAAAGTCGATGCTCCTTCATGTAAAAGTGAGTTGGTCAGTTCATCAGCACATGAAGAAGAAGAGTTTCAATCATAGAAAGGCACCAAAGGATGGGATGGATTAGATAGTTCTGACTAACCAAGGCTTCAACAAAAATCTTGAAACGCCGTGGTTTCAGGTGAAGTTTTGAAGCTTTGCAACTATATTTTTCCAGTAACGACCACCTGTTGGACATGCCAAATATAGTGAGAAAAATCACATCCATGTTATACCATTTTTCTCAAAATAGATAGCTTTCTTATATTATATGTAAATTAGTTAGACTGAACAATGAAAATTATAACAACTCGTTAAATTAACACACAAATAACAAATTCCCTCAAGTATTAGTCTGACTTCTCCAGATGCAAAAAGGCCAACATTCTCAACAATGATGCCATATGACATTATGGCAGAATCCAAACTAATTTTCATAACTTTTCACACATAAACCCAGCAATCAATCAAATGAAAATAACCACCCACATTTGGAAAGCATAGGTAAGATTGAAGGAATGGCAACAGAATAACTAGTAATAATTATTACCATCGAAGCATTGCAGCATTAGTATCCTTAGAGTTTTTTGCATCCAGACATAACCCAGGAGCCAACAGCTTATTCATACGCCTTACTAGACGGTAATAATAATGTCTGACCTGTTGAAAAAAAATTGAAGAATATATATACATAAGAAGGGATTAGAGTACAAGTCCAATGATTAACTTTCCAACAGAAGACCGTCTATAACAAGCACCTGGTCCTTGTTTTTGCTTTGGACATGACAAGTGATCTTTTCAAAATTCTGCACAGAAAATATGAAGCAGTCAGGAGGCATCCACAATAACAAATATGCAAAGTAAGGCGACATCTACATGCCTTGCCAACTTGCCGTAATGCAGTGAAGAAACTTTCCTCCTCTTCACGTGTCCAAGCAGCCCATTGTCGAGTAGGCCTTTTGGCTGCATGAACCAATAAAGAATAATTAGAGGCAGGAAATTTGTTAGATGTAGAATGTAAAAGAAAAAGACAAGTACCAGGTGGTGGTTCTATAACATGATCAGGAGTTGATGCTGCAATGCCTTGATCTCCAACATGAGCAACGAAAGTCTCTGAATGATGATGTGTCTCAGAGTTGGAGGAGACAATTGAATCTGTCTGCATTTTATATTTTTTAATGAACTTATTTACTCTTGTCCTTCATCGACTTCCGAATGATGCTCCTAAGCATCAGAAACCAACTGCAACAATGGGTAATCATTTCAAAGTCAAGAGGAATCAGATATTTTCTTATAGACAAAGGGATTGAAAAGAGATAACTCATTCGAGAAAGAATGGCACTCATAAATAGAATGTCTTTATCCAATCTAATCATTTATATGCATCAGGAGAATCCCCTCAAAAATGTTAACAACGGTAGAGTTTTCTACAGGGCTTCACGCTCCCAATAATTAAGAACAAAAGTAGAACATACAGAGTAGTTTCCTGCGTTCATCAATTCATAGATCATCAAATAGAATAAACTGGAACAATTAAGTACAACAGAACTCATGATTACTCATATATAGCCTTTGCAAGCATCCCTATTTATCCAAAATCCTGTCGCACAAAAATGCTAACAAAACCTAATTGCAGTAATTCAATCAAATACCTACCCCAAATAAACTTATAACTCACATACTAAAATTGAGTAAATAACCGAACTTCGGATAGAAACTCATTATTGCCAGGCAGCTGAGAACGTCATCTGTTTCAAATCGCTTAACCCGAAATTAAATCCGAATAACGATCACTCACCTAAACCTTTCATGAAACAACTCATTAATCAAATTGCGTTAAAATTCCTCTAAACCAAACTCCTTACAGATAATTGAAAATAAAGATTCTAATAATCTCCTCTCCATTTTAGGTCCCCAGAGATGATTTAGGGTTTCGAACTGCACCCATGGTCAACTGAAAAAAAAAAACTCCAGAAAATCAACAAACGAAACGAAATTGTACACAAAACTGACAATACCTGAGAAAGATCGAGAAATCGAACAATCTGTAACGCCAAAAAGCTTCGAATATTAGACGAAAACGATGAGAACCGGAGAAAATTTTCCGACAGCCGTCTACAGTTGAGGGATGAGAAAGAACAAAAGAAAAATAAAAAATAAAAAAATAAAATAAAAATTACTTCGTGAAAAGGGAAAAGGGGGAAAAACAAATTATTAAAAAAAATGTGTAATTCCTGAAAATGCTAAAAAGAAACAATTTGTGAATTTGTGAATTTGTGATACCTGACCTCAACTAAACATTTACTTCCCTCGTTTATTTTATTGACAAAAGAGAAAATATCTAAAATATTACTTAACCTTATAATAATAATAATAAAATATATATTCCATTTTCTAATTAAATATACACATATTACTTAAAAGACGGCAAATTGTGGATCTAGACATATAAAAAGCCTTTTGTTCTTTGACCCGTTACGTATCGTCGTCAGCCTCATAATTTTAAAACGCATCTATTAGGAATCGGTTTCCACACCCTTGTATGTTTCGTTCCCCTCTCCAACCGATGTGAGATTTCACAATTCACTCCCCTTGGAGGCCAACGTACTCACTGGCACACACCAGGTATCTGGCTCTAATACCATTTATGACAGCCAAACTCACCGATTTGATTGGTTACATATCGCATCAGCTTCATAGTTTTAAAACGCATCTGCTAAGGAGAGATTTCTACCCCTTAAAATGTTATGTTTCTCTCTCAAATCGACGTGGGATAAGTTATATACGAGGGGTTAGGAATAATCTTTTTTCCATTGGGATAATATTTAATGTGGGAATCTGGGAGTTTACTGTCCATGAAGGAAAGCAAGAAAAAGTAAAGGGGTTGAGTTTGTGATGCAAAATGGGGAACTTTTCTTCCTTTGGAAGGGTTTGCTTATTGGTTTGCTGGGAATATGTTGGCTTTTGGCCCCTGTTTTTCCCTCCCAATTTGTATAGAGATAGCAGAGAATAAAAAAGTTGTCATATTCTTCATGGTTGGTTAGCAGGCAACAATGGCAGTCTGCAGCAGCTAATTCAATTATCAGTACAAAAGTGAATGGATTATCGCACTAGTTTCTCTGACAACTGCCTAGCAACCCCGAGTCGAGTTCTTAAGAATCAGGCAACGTGGACTGCCTAGCAGCCATGAACTTGATTGATGAGAACCGCCTCCATTGATTAAGTAAAACACGAAGTTGAAAGTTCATGAACCGGAAGACCAGTTACGGTATACTTTCATGGCTCAAGATGAGCTTCATTGACTGTAGTTGAATTTGACAGCATTAACCTGAACATAGGATCCCCACGATCTAATACGTGTCGTTCCCAGTCCGATCTTACTCCAAATGGGTTCTCACTTAGCCATCCTTCCCCAACTTGATCTTGAAAAACAGATAGTTTTCCTTTTCCATATAGTAAGAAAGCTTCCTTCATTCTTAAAGCAACAGCTTCAACATCGGACTGAAGAAACACCTAACAAATAGGAAGCCAGCCCAGAAGAGATGTCCAAATTCCAAGGTATTACTTGAAACAAACAAACAAAAAAAAGTGAAGATGCACTGAGAAAATGGTAGTACCTTCCCATTAGCCGCAAGCAGGTCTGCCACTGCCTCCACTAATGACCTTTGCAGCATCCTCCATCTGTGCTCTGGTTTATTGAAATCAGGATTGGGACACTGTATTCATAAAAAGTCCTCCTTCACTTCCAGATACACAAAGTCTTTGGTGCAAATAGTTAGATATTGGTAAATGGGAATGGCTCCATAAGGATTTAACTTTTAAGCATGAAATCAGCTAGTGGTTCAAGCTCACTAAAGCTAGTGAATGTTAGTAACCACGACTCTCCACGATGATATGATATCGTCCACTTTGAGTATAAGCTCTCATGGCTTTACTTTTGACTTCTCCAAAAGGCCTCATACCAGTGAAGATGTATTCCTTACCTATAAACCTATGATCATCCTCTTAATTAGCCATAAAAGGCTTTGCTTTTGGTTTCTCTAAAAGGCCTCATAACAAAAATTTGAGGCTCACAACTTCTTTATTCGACATTTGAGGATTTTGTTGACATGGCTAAATTAAGGGCATGACTCTGATACCATGTTAAGAACTACGACTCTTTACAATGGTATGATATTGTCCACTTTGAGCATAAACTCTCATTGAAGGCTTACTCCAAATATTGGGAAGTAAGAAATACCAACAACATTTTATAAGTTCTCAGCACAGATATCATTTCTAGGAAGGGACAAATTCAAGGATTAGAGACAACATGGTCCATGAGGCTTTTGTACCTGTATAGAGACAAGCACTAACTCCCCTGGGTAGCTAGATACAATGGAGCGAAATGTTGACGTTGCATTGGTCGCGATAAAGTGCCTGAAACCATGAGAATTTGAGATAAGGTTTAGTGAAGAAACAGAAAACTCGACGCAAAGGGTTCGTGTTAACTCAGTGACAAGCAGAGGACAGCGGACACGTCCTTACCCATTCCGCATCTCCAATTGACAAACAGAATGTAGACAACGTTTCACAAGCTGAAAGGGTCATTCAAGAGTGAGATAATGTGAATAATTAAGGTTTATGCGGGTTAGGAAAAGAATGAAGACCTTTTCATTAATCTCTAGACCAAGAAAATTGAGATCCTTCCTTCTTCTGGCCATTTCCAGAAGAAACATCCCATTACCTGCATTTACAACATACAACTTATCAACTCTGAATGAAAAATTAAATGCAATCGTCATTAAAACTTGTAGAGTTGTACCAACGGAAAAAAAATTGGAATTTGCACCAAAATTGCAGATTATTTCTCTTATCTAGCGCACATTCTAAACTAAACTACGTCACAAGAAAGTCTTTAACTTTTTATGTGAGATTCTATATCGATTGAGAGGTGTACGAAGCATTGTTTATAAGGGTGTGGAGGGTGGATTGTGAGATCCCACATCAATTGGAGAGAGGAACGAAACATTGTTTATAAGCATGTGGAAAGCTCTCCCTATCAGACGCGTTTTAAAACCTTGAGGGGAAGCCCAGAAAAGAAAGTCTAAAGAGGACAACATCTGCTAGCAGTGGGTTTAGGCTGTTACAAATGGTATCAGAGCTAGACATTGGATGGTGTGCCAGCGAGGACGTTCGGCCCCAAAGGGGGGTGGATTGTAAGATCATACATCGATTGGAGAGGGGAACGAAGTCTTGTTTATAAGGGTGCGGAGGGTAGATTGTGAGATCTCACATCGATCGGAGAGAGGAACAAAACATTGTTTATAAGGGTGAGGAAACCTCTCCCTAGCAGACACATTTCAAAACCTTGAGGGAAAGTTGAGAAGAAAAAGCCAAAAGAAGACAATATCTGCTGGAGGTGGGCTTGGGCTATTACATTTTAGCAGTTAAATACAAAATTCTATATGATAGGAAGAAAATAATACCACTTCCAATGTCAACCACCAAAGGCAGAGCTGTATCACAAAAGGCTGCATCCCAGTTAATCTTGTATGGGTATGCCTGCATGAAGCAATCGCTTCAAACTAATTTTAGCTGCTCATCCAGTTTAAACTCATTATTCAGTTTTTTAGAAAAAATAATCAAAATACAGAAGAACTTACTCTATCCAAGGCTAGAACCCCTGGAAGATGTTTCCCTTTCAAGAAATCCCACACAACAGAAGCATTCTCAAATACATTACAAGCAGGTAAAGTACTTGATTCCTGCATCAGTGCTTTGCATGCTGTGGTTCCAACAACAGTTACATCACAATCACTTTGGATTAGATCATATAGCTTTCTTGCTAATATAGAAGCTCCACCCGTACTTTGGCTTGAATTAAAGAATTTCACTGGACCAATCCATATAATTTTCTGCAACATAGTGCTCAGGTGTTAGATTGAGATTCTTGCGTGAGTAAATAACAGATAACTATGTTGGTACTTAGTAGGGGTTTAAAGAGAAGTTGGACATGCTGAGTTTCTAAATCACAAAATTGTAGTTCATACTTACCAGATTGTAACGGCCCAAGCCAACCGCTAGCAGATGTTGTCTTCTTTGGACTTTCCCTTTCGGGCTTCCCCTCAAGGTTTTTAAAACGCGTATGTTAGGGAGAGGTTTCCACACCCTTATAAAGGGTGTTTCGTTCTCCTCCCCAATTGATGTGAGATCTTACAATCCACCCCTTTTGGGACCCAGCATCCTCGCTAGCACTCGTTCCCTTCTTCAATTGATGTGGGACCCTCTAATCACCCCCCCCCCCTTCGGGGCCTAGCATCCTTGCTGGCACACCACCTCGTATCCACTCCCCTTCGGGGCTCAGCCTCCTATCTGGCACATCGCCCGGTGTCTAGCTCTGATACCATTTGTAACTGCCCAAGCCCACTGCTAGCAGATATTGTCCTCTTTGAACTTTCCCTTTTGGGCTTTCCCTCAAGGTTTTTAAAACGCGTCTGCTAGGGAGAGGTTTCCACACCCTTATACAGGGTGTTTCGTTCTCCTCCCAACTGACGTGGGAACTTACAATAATTGGGATTTTATAAAAAGCAGAAGCAACTAATGAAATTTAAGGTAAAAATTGAATCCTACCTTGCTCTTCATTAGCAGGGCGTTTATTTCATCCAATGATGTCGGACCAAGATCGACCGGTAGCCAGCCTAAAAGAGGAAGAAGTTAAGATAACGAAAGAACAAGCTTAATTTCAAAGTGTCAAGCCTTAAAAAGGATAAACATGCATTCGGGTAGGGGAAATGAAAACTTACCATCTGGAACATCATGAGAAGCAAATATTTCCATTTTCTTTGAAGTGTCTACATTCTTGCACCAGAAATCCTTTGGGTACACAATTTGTACGCTTTTATTAAGTGAAAACTGAATTATGTCTGCAGCTTCCTTACATACACTATGATTCACCAGTCGTGAAGAAACAGGCAGCCCCAAGGCATGCATTATCTGAAATGACATCATTCCAACAAAGACCAACGCAGAGCATGTGGAAGCTAAAAAGTGCAAGGCAGTCACCTTGTCTAAAAGGTTGCCTCCTCCAATCTGTATTAAAAAAATTCATAATACATGATCTAGAATCGTTTTATGGCAGATGAAGGAACTAGTAGAGGAAAACATACAATTGCAACGTAAGTTTGCCTCGTGGTTTGTGCAGCCTCCTTTAGCTGACATAAACTTTCTTGAAAGCTAAAACCAGCAATGCAGGTACAACAGAAACGAGTAATCCCAACTGTGGATGCAAGAATTCTATGGGATTGGGAAAAGGAGTCATTAACAAAAATATCAACAACTAAAGATAGCAGCTTGGAAAATTTTGAGCAATTGGCAACTTCTTCTTTGAACTCTGAAAGATTCTCGAGAAGAAGAATGTCGACTTTCTCAAAGCATTCTTTCTTCGACATCATACTAATGGAACTGCACTGTACTGGGAGAATTTTGAGTTGAAGAACAGAGGTCAAATAATCTGAAATGGCAAGCCATCAATCATTAAGCATTAAGGAACATCTAAAGAAAAAAAAAAAAAAAAAAAGACCGTCTAAGAACACTTCCAATTTCATGCATTTATGTTTTCTATTTACTTCTATCTTATTTCCATATATTCACCTATCCCTCCAAACCCATACTAATAGAAGAGACTTCAATCTATCCATATCCATATGTATCATATTTTACAGATTCAAAATGAGAAACTGTCATCCCATTCAATTGAATTGGGATGCCCGTGGTCAGAGTCCTAGTCTCCTCCCACTCCATGGACGACCAACCATTGAATTGGAAGTGTCATCTCTAAGCCTGCTGAAATTGAAATTATCTTTTGAATCATCTCTTACAAATCCAATTGGGCAGTACCAATGAACCAGAGGAAATCACCCCATGTTCTAATGCACGTGCACCCCACATCACGCCTTATATCTCATATCGAGGTAGGTTATAGAACTCCATTCACAAAATGAAATCACAGTGTACTATATTGAAATCAGGAAACATCCTAGAACGTGTACCAGCTACAGACTCCATATCGGGATGTCTTGTAATAGAGTTTGTATTCCAGTTGCTGGCAAGTATCACTTTTGCTCCAGATTTGTGCAAGTATTTAACGGTGAAGACTGCATTCTTCACCAAGTTAATCCTTAGGTCGATTTCTTCCATTAGCAGTAAGGTTGAATCAAACCTGACCATGACAACTTTTCCGGCAAGTTCTTCCCTAGGAAACTCTCTAAGAGTTTGCACATGTGGAACAGCCTCTAAGTTCCACCAACTAGGAGCATGGTCCTACATTTAACCCCAACTTTTATTAAGACCACAAGCAAAGTATATATAATACATAGAACAAATAAATTAAATTAAGTTTTAAGAACTGGCTCAAAAAAAGTAGGGAACTGAAAGTTCAAGTTATGCACACAGAGCAATAAACCAAGTTTCCTTTCCATCATAAGACGAATCGGGTGGCACGAAAGGGAACTGGGCCGTCTAAATACCTCAGAGTTCACCGTGTTCTTCTTACAATAGACTACCCCCCAACGTCGTGCTGAGATGTAACTTCAAAACAAGACAAATTTGTGTAAGAACTTGGAGCAAACTCAAAAGTCTAATATATAATGAAAAATCAAGTTTATACCTTCTGTTGACACTAAAACAGCATGATATCTATCATACTTTGTGAAGTATGGAAATAGATTCTGATAGTATAACTTCGGTGAATCTTGAGCAACTGCTTTGCTAACGAAAATAGATCCTTGAAGTGGATTTAAAAGTTGGCCCATCTCCTTTTTCCTTATTCAAGCAATGAAAACTCTGCACTAGACTTCAATAAACCTATCATAAAAGAACATTTAGAACACATCGTTCAAATTTGAAAATGACTCAAACAGCTAAGAACGTTTCCAGGTATGGCTCCTAACTATCACCATTGTGTTGCTAGAAAACAGAGTATAACTTCAGCTAGTTCTACAAACCAAAGCAGTCCTTTAATGATGGTAGATATTTCTTTAGCCATGAATTGCCACCATGAATGGACTACAAACAACCACTAAAATCCCAAATGTTTCATTGAATTGTCCGAAATCGTCACACAGAAAACTGACGTAAAATGTAGTTGTTACAGATCATGGAAGCAGTTGATTGCCACAAACACGAAGAAAAAGGACATAAATCGAAGAATTTGAGCTGAATAAACTGAAAACCAAGAAGATAATCAGCCAGTTCCTTTCATTAATACTCACCGGTGAGCCGATAGACGCGTTTGGAGTCGAAGAAATAAGCAAACTGCAAGTTCCAGAAACCAATAACACGCGCCGGGAGCAGGCCAAATTGGCTTGCCGCTCTTTCAGTACCTTATCGACGTCTAAAATAAAACGACACGTCGTCGAACTCCCGTTCGACTTGTAGTCCATATTTTAATATTTTATCAATTTAAATCCTATTTTTGATTCTCTTTTCCTTTTTTATTTTTTATTTTTTATTTTTTTTTATTTTTTAAATATCCCATTAGTATCAACGGAAGCAGGGGAGGTGATTGGAATTCCATAGATCAAGTCAAGCAAAACCTCTGCCGGCATCTGTAGCTTCCGCCGTCCGGTGGTCGAGATGGGAGTGTGCTTCGTGGTCGGCGTATTGGGAGTTCTAATCCTAGCTCATGCTGCTTATTCCACCATCCAATGTATGCCCTAAAAAATCCCCTGATTATATTCTCTAATTGTAAACCCTGCAGTTCTCGATTGATCTTGTTTTGAATGCAGATAGGAACGTATTGAAGATTATGCAGGAAGAGTTTTCAGGCCCTCCGTTCAATGTATTCTCGCCACTCTTTTTTTATTTCTTTAATTTTGGCTTTCAGTTGGTTCCGCTTATATCACTCGATTTGAGGTGTTTCTGAAATAAGGAAGTTTTTCTTGTCCACTAATTTTAGGTGGCAATCGAATTGAGTCTAGGGTTAGTATTGTCCGTGTGGGCTGCACTCACTGTGCCAGGGAAGTTTCGGTCGATTAATCCAGAATCTGAGGAGAATAGGTACATTTTTCTGTCAATTTGTGCATGAAATGTGATTTTGCTAAATGTTTTGGATGGAATTCCGCCATTAGTTTTTCGTTTTCCCCATCGATACGATATTACAATGATAAGGCTTTGGTGTTGACGATTGTAGACCGTTTGCCAATCCAGAAAAGCTAGGCTCTGGTAGTAAAACTCCGTTAAAGGTTATCACAAATATAACCTTTGTTACCAGCTCAGTCTATCCACTTCCACCTCCCCCTACCCTCTCCCCCTGTGTCTGCCAATTTACTGCCTTGCCTTCTTTTGCTTCAAAGTTCATATAAAAAGTGCAAAGGCATTTAGTTTCCTAGAATCTGGTAGTTATTTTTGTTTTCTTAAAAGGTTCTACTAAGCCGCTCTTAAATGTCCGAAGAGATAGAGATGAACCCATTAGAAAGTTTTAGAGAATTTCTTTGTGAGATCCCACGTCGGTCGGAGAGGGGAACGAAGCATTCTTTATAAAGGTGTGGAAACCTCCCCCTTGCAAACACGTTTTAAAAACTTTAAAAGGAAGCTCGAAAGAGAAAGTCCAAAGAGGATAATATTTGCTAGCGGTGAGCTGGCTGTTACATTCTCTTTTTGAATTGTCCCCTATATTTCCATGGTCCGTCCCTTCAATTCGAGTTTTGTTCAAGTTCAGAATATTTCAAGAATTTGTTGTTGTTACAACTAATTTCACTGTTATTAGCATATTGTTTCGTCCAGCAAGTTAAAACTATTCTTCATGTAGAGAAATATTTTACATTGCAGGGTAGTTCTTCTTCCTGCCAATCAAGATTTTATGGTCTTCAACCACCGAGGCAAATTATTTCCCCAGAAAACAGATTTGAAGCTGAAACATTGAGTTCTCAGTCGTGATTAGAGTAGGCACTGGAGAATTCAAGCTGGAAGCAGGAATGGACGTTAAAGAACCTTAAGGAGATATTGCTGCATTCCATCAATCTAATGTTTCTTCACTCGCTAATTATTTTGGATACTGCGAGGTTTTTTCCATGTTTATTTTATAGTCTCTTCCTCAAAACAAGGTTTTGCCATTGTTATTGAATTAGGCGTCTTTTGGATCGATATGAAAGGTTAGTATGTGTTTCTGCAATCTGGTTAACTGAGATTAGTTTGTTTTTTCATCTGCCAATGGTAAATGGTTTCAATTTGGTAGCTTATTTCTCTGCTGTGTACGATCCATTGTTATTGAATTAGGCCTCTTTTAGATGTGTGGAAATGACTTGGGGTTCTTGTTTTAAAATGAATTTTGTATTCTGATGCAAGCCTGGGTCATTTTTTACATTTGCATAGTGTCATTATATTATATTATGTATTGGGTTTGTAACAGCCTAAGCATATCATTATCATTAGTAGAAGTATGGTAGAATCAAGATCGTGTCATTAGCATATGCTATGTGCATTGTAACAGTCAAGCTCACCACTAGCCGATATTGTCCTCTTTGGATTTTCCCTTTTAGACTTCCCATCAAGGTTCTTGAAATGTAGTCTGTTAGAAAGAAGTTTTCATATCCTAAAATGTTTCATTCCCCGTCTCCCACTAATGTGGAATCTCACAATCCACTCCCCCCAACGGTCTCCCACCAATGTGGAATCTCACAATCCACTCCCCCAACGTTCTTGTTAGCACATCGCTCAGTGTCTGGCTCCCGATAACTAACAGTTATTGTCCTCTTGGCTTTCAATATTTTTAAAACGTGATTGTTAGGAAGAGGTTTCCATACCCTTATAAGTTCTCTCCAAATAACGTGGGATCTCACATGCATTCTAGCGAGGTGTCTCACCAACTTATAAATATTGTGCTAAGCTTTGTTTGTTAAGGTGTTGAGGTTTCTCAAGTAAACAGTGCTGTACAGAGCCTGGTTAGAACTATCAAATGTGAAGGAGAATGAACGAAACAAGAAAAGGAGAGAGAAATTCATTGTACAAGTTTAGATCACTATAGACACATCTGTTATTGCAATATTGAAGAGGAAAAGTGGTGAGCTTAGACAGGGCTTTAACAATGAAGCAAGCAACAGCAATGGCAACAAACATGTTCCCGCTGTTGGATTATGATTGGTTGAGTTCTTCTGGCTTGTCTATAGAATGTCTGAGAATGTATTCAACTCTCCTCTTCTTTTCATCTCTTTCTTTATTGTGCTTTTGATCTCTTTCATCATCTCGTCTGACCCAGAACACAGATTCCCTAATTCCTGTCACTTTAGCATTCAAATTCATAGATCCTCCAAGAAATGTTCTGCTAGTTTCTAACTTGAAATGAACAAGGGGCCTCGCACGAGGAAGAATGTTCGCCTCGTCGTCCCGACTGTTAGGAAAGCCACGACCTTTAATCACCTCAATGGCAGGAGCAAACACCTCTGGCACAGACAAATGGCTAATCCCATCCTTGCCAATTGAAGTTTCAGAAGGAAATCCCACCCCATCTTCCATCTCTTGCAAACATGACCCAAGGAATGAATTACTTTCACCTCCTGAAAACTCAATCTTGCCATTGCCACTTCTTTCTGAACCACAGGAAACCAATCTCTTCTGCAAACCCAATAGAGACTTCTCTGCCTTCCTCCGCTGCCTCGCAAGCTCTATCTTCTCGGCGCGTGGCTCCCTCGGCTTCCTCCTCCACAAAGCTGAATGATTGTAAGTATGAGCATCAGGGAATGCTGGCAACCAACTGGGAATATGTTTGCTAGGTGGGGCTTCACCAATCTGAACAAAGCTTGGAATTGGCTCCCTGTTTCTGATCACCGGGAAACGTGGTAGTGGATGAGCAAAAGGGATCTCATCAACTGAATTTACATAGCGAACAATGCTCTTCACTGACCCCGAATTGGTAAGACAATGATTTGGTTCCCAAGCGCCCTGAAACCCCTGTGATGATTCCAACTCTTCGATCCCTCTAATTATATCAAACACATTGCACTCAGTTCTACCAGCTAAATTGGCATAGAAAGCTGCTATCCTCCCCAAATGGCAAAGGTATTTGATGGCAATGTCAGCGAGTGCGTCCGTAGCAGACTCTTTGAAGCTCTGAAACCCTGCGATGTTACACATCTGCGTCACAGCAATTCTGGACACCTCTCGACCTAAATCGTTGCCTCTACATTTCCTCAACTCAGACCTTTGTTGTTCTTTCGACTTCATACTACTCCCACCCCCATCCCTCATTGCCTCTGCATTTCAATCTTCTTCGAATTCCGCCACACTCAAACGATCAAAATCCAGTTACTCGTCGGAAGACTGTTGAATCCTTCTTCGATTTCCAAGCGTAATAGTTGCTTTTTTTGCAATTCGAAATTCGGAACCAGATAAGAAAAAACTCGAGAAATGAATTCGGAATCAGAATCAAAATCAATAACAAGAGAAGGCAAAAAAATCTAAGGAACCATCGGAAAGTTAGGGAAGAAACAAACACGAAAAGCTAAAAGGAAGCTCTAAAACTGATGATAATAACTTTCCAAACTATCATACAAATAATCCAGAGGATTTTTTTTCAAATATCTGAAAGAGAAAATTAGAAATATGCGAGAGATCCAACGATCCGAAGCGCTGTAATCTAATAGCACAAAACCCTAGAGGGAGAAAAATGGAGGAGAAAGAGAAAGTGAGATTCAAAATCGGAGATGACGGTGGACGGAAGCAGACGCCGCCGCAGATCTCCGGCGTTTGAAGAGCGATTAAACTGAGCTGTAAACTCTCCTGAAGTTCGAGGTTTTCGTTCTGAAGAGAAGAAACCTTCGGAATATTTTTATTTATTTATTTATTTATTTAAAAGATGCTCTGAAATTTTATGCTTCGTCTCTCTCTTTAATTTTTTGCCCTCTTTAAAATTGTATCAAAATATTTATTTTTCTCAATATTTTTTTTAACAAAAATAAATTATTAAAATGTGACTTGGGAGAATTATAAAATAAGATGACAAGTGGACACGTGCAAGTTTGGGCCTGGAAGTTTGGGCCTTGGTCTCATCTCAAGGCTGCCCATTGGGCTTTTTTACTCACGTGGGCTTAATCTCAATCAGAGGCCATGGATGTTTGGGCCTTGGTCTCATCTCAAGGCGGCCCATGAATGTGCGTTTTGAAGATGGGGGCATTCCACGGCTTGTAGATAAGCACGGATAGAACCAAGACCAGAAAGAAGCCGTGATTCTGAGAAATCGAAGCAAGAGAGGCGAAGAAATGGAGAAGTACTTCGGAAATGCTTACAGAGGCGACCCTGGAGTTCCACACACTGACCCAGATCGTTTTGTAAACATTTGGATTGGATCCGCCGCCTTCTCCATTCTCACATGGAAGAATCCCTACATGTGGCAACTCTCCAATCAGTTCAAGTACTCTTTTTCTTCATCTCTCCCTGTTTTTTCGAAGTCGATTTAGGGTTAAATTTGCAGGGAAATGTCTTAATTCTTAAACTATAGCACTATTTGTTTGAATTCTTGTTCTGCTCTGCAATTCGACTTTCTGCTTCATTACTCTGTTGTTATGTACTGACGTTCAATAGTTTCAGCTTCTTTTTTGGCGGGTCAGTTTTGAAATCAATGTTTACAGGGGTTAGACTTTGATTAGGAGTTATTTCAGGGATTTACAATTCTAGGGGACCTTATTGCACCAGAAGTTGTAGTAGTGACTGTAGATGATTCAGTTTCATTGCGTGTATAGTGATAATCTTATCACTTATTATTCAACTGGCCGTGAAATTGTAAGTGTTTTTTGTATAACGATAATCTTTCATTGCCTGTATAAGACTTAACGTCTTCTGCTCTGCGGAATAGTTGGTTCTGGAATTTAAATTGTTCTTATATAAGAATTTTTTCGATCCTCCTGAAATATATTTTTCATTGCATTCACCTGTACTGTGAAGAATATAAATTTGTTTTTCCTGATGTCTGCTGACAAGTATATGAACTATTAGAACTATATATGATTTTCTTCTTGTGTTGTTCAATGCCAATCTTATTTTTGGATTCTGCTTCTTTAGTCTGGAGAAATACTCCCGTAAATGAATTTAATATTGTGAATCCTTAGATCAGGTTTATGCTTCCATTTGTTTCATTGATGTTGTCTTATCACCTAGAATTACGAATCTAATTTTGATGAAATTTTCATGCTGGGTTGTTGATATAGGGAGATATTGGCATCCTTTCTTGCTGCTTGTTCTACAGTTCTCTTTTGCATTATTCCCATTAGAAATTGTGGGTGTTCGTCGTGATTCTTTGTATTGTTTTTGCCGCTACTGTTTTGCAATTGTCATCCTTATTCTCAGTTCATATTTGAATCATGCATTCTCAATTTGTAATTTGATAGTTGGCATGATAAAGCGTTTTTGTTTGAGCAATACCACTGGAAAAAGGCGCGTGAAAAGAATCAGCCTTACCAGTTCAAGGTACATTGTTCTACTCCAGTTTATATAGAAGCAAACAAGCATTTTATATTGCATATGAACCACTTTGTTGTTATACTTTTAATATGTCATGGAATGGCTACAATGTTCTTATAAAATTTTCTTTGTTCCTGCAGTGGAATCAGTACATGGACAAGCTCCACCGGGATTCCTATTATTACAACTGGCCCGTGTACTTTCCTTAAGCTCTCGGACTATGTAAGAAAACTGTTGCTTGGATGCTTAGTTATTTGGTCCGTTACTGTAGCGCCAGAGAGATTACTATTGCACTCAGGCTCGAAGGTTTATGAATGTGTAGAATCATATTTGTTTAAATCTGTTTGGATAACAGCATGTCGTGTGGTCGTTCTATTCTGCAGTAATGATTTTGGGAATGGATGAACCATAATTGGTACCATTTGCAATTATATGATGAAGATCTGAAAGGGTATCTTATATCATACTGAAATGGAGCTTAGCAACTTAAAAAATGTGCTTCAACTTAGTGTTCAAATAGATTCCCAAATAGAAATGTGAGATCGTTAGAGAGGGGAACGAAGTATTCCTTATATGGGTGTGGAAAACTCTCCCTAGTAGATGCGTTTTAAAACCTTTAGGGAAGCCTTTGAAGAAAAAGTCCAAAGAGGACAATATCATGCTAACGGTGAGCTTAGACTGTTACAAATGATATCAGAGCTCGTCACTAGACAGTAGGGCTAGACCCTTTCCACAATATACCTGCTTTTAAATTCTTGAGAGGAACGGTGAGCTTGGGCTGTTATAGTAAATGTTTCTTTTGTTATTTCTCGAGTAGAAATAGTAGTAATCACTGGTACAGTGAGACACAATGCACCTTTTCATCATTTTGATGTGGTGTCATCCGGATTTTGGATCATGATACCTTATGTTTACCATATACTTTTTTATATATATAATTCGTGGGTCGTTCTAAATTTCTTAGATCTGGTAGAAATGATCGAATCGTTTTCGATCCCCAGAAGTACATACGAATACTCTGAGTCTCACATGTTTTACAGGTATGGTGGTCTGATTGTAAGATGATGCAGAAACCCAATGTATTTCTTAGCACAGCTTCAGCATTGATGTATTTGCAGACCCAGCCAATACTCATTGCTGGATCTGGGCAATCTTTTGGGCCTAAAGCTTTATCTGTTGCCATGTTTAAAAGAACTGTCGCCTCCTCTTGAAGCCCATCCTCAATTCTGCCTTCCAAAGTAAAAGCATCTTCTTCATTCCAAAAGATTACTTGTGCCACACCAAAATCCCACCTGAAGGAAGATCTGTTTGAGTTAAAGATGGGAAAGAAGAACAAAAGATTCTTTTTTTCTTTTCTTTTTTTGTTCGTTTATCTAAATATGAAAGTCAAAAATCAGAATGATTATGGTGAACAAACTTCACTCTTCATTATGATGATGATACTCTCTTAGACATTGTTCATTCTCCTGTACATTCAAATGGGTGAATTTCCCTTTATGCCCCCATAATCCATCTCTTTTCTCCTATTTGTCTCTCTTAGTCTTGAACCTCGCTCCATTCAACCCAGACAATTCAATCAACTTGTAATGATAGAATGGCAGGGAATGCTTCGTTCCCACACTCTTAATAAGGAATGTTTTGTTCTCTTCTCCAACTAATGTGGGATCTCACAATCCACCTCGTGGGGGCTTAGTGTCCTCGCTGACACACCAATCCACCCTGTGGGGGCCCAGTGTCCTTGCTGGCACACCGCGGTGTCCAACTTCGATATTAGTTGTATCAGTCCAAGCTGCTTTGGCCCATTATGTATCGTCATTAGCCTCACGGTTTTACAGGGATAGTACGTGTGATTTTTTATTATATTTTAGGGACGGAACCGAAAATGGGTGGGAGAGAAATGTGAAAAAGCATGGAAAGGTGAAGAAAGAAAAAGAAAAAGGAAAAATGGGAAATGGGTTGCCTTTTTTTGAAGATTTCAAAGTATAGAAGTTTTAGTTGGCTACAAAGACTTACATCTAAAGATAAATAAATAACAAACTTATAAATATGATTCATTTATGGAAACTTCCAACTTCAAACTATACCACTCTTTTTCAATAATGTAGGCCCCCAATAATGCTTTCCACTCATTCACTTTTACTCCTTTATTTTTCTCAATTTTGTGCGTTTACACGTGTTTTTTTTTTTTTTTTTT